TAATGATGCTCAATGTTTCCCTATAACTTCATTTTTTGCCGTAGTCATGATGCGGGGAGTAAAAGAGAAGTTAAGTGACGTAGTATAAAGAAAAATGAAAAGACTTACGTGTGGAAGTCAAGGTGGATGATCTCCTTAATTTAAGCACGTTACTTTAGTTATATAACGTACTCGACCAATCCATGGTCTTTTTCCTCAACCTAAGTAGTAGTATAGCACACGCAACTTGTGTCACATTCATGAAGGTAATATTAACCGCGTGTTGAAGTATATCGAAGTATACTCCGGGTGTTTCTCAATCTCTATTTCAAGCACACTACGTCATCGAGTGCCGCCGAAGGACTGTTCAAATGTCCAGCATACTTGGAATTCTACCGAGCCCGGCGTACTTCGTTTGGAGAAATGTCGAGGTTGCACATGTGTAGACTCTGCGGTCTTAAAATCCCCACAATGCTTTGCGCACGGACCAATTTCCCCAAATCTGTAAGGCGAGGCCTCTCATATGACGCACACCTGCTCACCTGTTCCATTCTTCGTTTTCCGAGGCTAGGAAGTATGCTTGTCTCGCTTCTGAAGCAAGTGACTCGGAAGTGCTACCAAGCAAAAGTACTCAACATTGAGAAACACCCTCAGTGTTTATTTCCCCATCTGGTGTACCAATGAAATGTTACATTTGTAAACGTACTAGAACCCCCAGCTGTTTCTGTTATATACCTCCAGTCTCACGTATCTTTCCTTTTCTCTATTATGTGAAAAACTTCTAGAATAAAACCTTTATATAACCGCAAATCTTTTTATTTTTATTTTTTAGTCAGTTTATTGAACATGTCAGAAACAAAAACATACAACAATAATATATATATATATATTAGGGTTGTCAAGTTAACCCGTTAACGGAAAAAAAAAAATGAACGCCACTAATTATTTTAACGCGATTAACGCATGTGTATTTTTTTTCCTCGGCCGCCCCGTAGTTTCAGAGCGCAACGAGTTTAAAATACCATCTACAAGCTGATGCTGACAGCCGCTCCTGCCACCCGCTTGTGGCAGACCACACTTCCACGCTCACCGGCAGGCACCGACTGGCCATCTGGAGGACCGGGAGGGTGTGTGTATGTGTGGCCCGAGCGAGAGAGAGACCTTACGTGCATTGTTGTTGTTAGCATCTGGTGCTAGCTAGCTGCGCTAACGGATATACGGAGCTGTTTAAATGAAAACAGAGGAGCGACATTTCGCCACAACTGCGCCGAGCACTTGACTTTATGCAGGAAGCCAGACAGTGGGACATTGTACGAGAAGTCAGCACACTCAGCACGGATAGTGCGCAACATGATTGCAGCGTCCAGGCAGCTCCCGTTCGAGCATATGCCTTGAGTTGCACATAGCTCCAACGAACACACACACACACACACACACACACACACACACACACACACACCACACACACACACACACACACACACACACACACACACACACACACACACACACACACACACACACACACACACACACACACACACACACACACACACACACACACACACACACACACACAGGTTGCTGTGTTTAATATTCATGAGAATATTTGTCATTGTTCAAATGATAATAAACATTAGCATAAAGCATATGTGTCCACTCATATGTTGATAAGAGTATTAAAAACTTGAAAAATATTCCTCTAAGGTACATTTAGAACAGATAAAAAATGTGCGATTAATTTGCGATTAATCGCGATTAACTATTTTAATCGACTGACAGCCCTAAAATATATATATATATATATATATATTCCCTTTTTTTCCTTTTTTTTTTCTCACTCAAATGAATAATTATAACAAAGTACAAAAAACAAATAATAACAACAAAAAACAACAAAAAAAACAATAATAATTCTCAGATAGTCTGTCATGTTCAACAGGGGCAAGAAGAAGCTTGGGGTCCTCCCCCCTCTCGCATATATGTTCCTTATAAATAAAACATTAGGTCATCAGCGACAAGTTTGTCTTGTTAATTTGTTTGCTTTTTGTTTTTTTACAAAACTATCAGAAATAAATTACTTTTACAAGAAATAACAACAAATGGGATTTCACAGGTCCTGTTCGTAACCATTCATGATTTGGCTCCTAAATAATACTTTCAGTTCAGACTTGTACAACATTTCAGTGCATCGTTACAGTTATTCCACAGACTAACAACTTCTGATGAGATGCAGAAGGCATTTGTTCGTACGGGTGGTTTTTTGAAAATGCAGGTTCCTCTCAACATGTGCATGCTTTCTCTCCGCGTGAAAAGTCCCTGGATTTTATGAGGTCATTGTTGATTTGCGGCTTTGAACTTTGGCTTTTGACCGAACTGAAGCATTCTCAACTTGATGCGTCACAGTTTTCGCCTCTAAAATTGACCTCATATTGTCTCCGAACACTACTTTACGTTGCACTTTTTCCACATTTGACACAGCTCTTATATAAACAGGGCATTAGCATGGAGAGCCACAGCCCCTAATCTATGCAGGACACATGCTTTAGTTAACATAATATACGGCAAGTAAAATGAAGGGGTGACAAATTCCCAGAACGTCTATTAATTGTCATGCCTTGTAATTTAAAGTAGCCTTCCCCGGGTGTTTCCCACATTATGTTTTAATGGGAGAAACTGTGATAATGCAGGAACGTGATGAGCACAGCAACTACCAAGTAGCCCTGAAGTCGACTTGCTCGCTAGTTTATTAGCATCTGCTTTCCTTAACCTAATTTCCCAACACTTCCCAGGTCGAGGGGAATCACTCTGGGGCTTGATTTACTAGAAGGAAGTGCCTCAGAGATAGACACACCTAACGGCACAACACAAACACATTAGTCTTTCCCTCACACTCATGGGAAGTATCAATAAAGTAAATAGTTTAAAAGGAGGTGCATGGTGATTAGGTCCTTAGGCGCACAGTTTATCCACTCTGCTACAACAGAGGTCTTACTCACCGGATCGGCTTCAATCCACATGGCATCACCACACACATTTTAAAGCAGCCTGAAGAACAAGCAGGAACTCTGAGGGTTGCTAAAGTAAGTTTGTAAGGGAAGGGCAGAGGCGAGAAGAGAGTAATAGAGTGGACCGACCCGGAAATAAGCATCGTGAAAGACTCCCTTGATTAAAAGCGATGGGATGGAATTTCCCTAGTGGATTATTGCAGAAAAATAAGCTTTGTAGCAAACACAAGTTTATAATACTTACACGTGTAGTTCAGCAGGATAATCTCCACAAAGTAACACCACTTTATGATTTCTGAATTTAAAAACTAATGTTGGGCTATAAAGGAACTACAGCACGGTCACATGACTTCACGTCACCACCGCTAAGCTAAAGGCGGCTAATGTTGGGCTATAAAGGAACTACAGCACGGTCACATGACTTCACGTCACCACCGCTAAGCTAAAGGTGGCTAATGTTGGGCTATAAAGGAACTACAGCACGGTCACATGACTTCACGTCACCACCGCTAAGCTAAAGGCGGCTAATGTTGGGCTATAAAGGAACTACAGCACGGTCACATGACTTCACATCACCACCGCTAAGCTAAAGGTGGCTAATGTTGGGCTATAAAGGAACTACAGCAGGGTCACATGACTTCACATCACCACCGCTAAGCTAAAGGCGGCTAATGTTGGGCTATAAAGGAACTACAGCACGGTCACATGACTTCACATCACCACCGCTAAGCTAAAGGTAGCTAATGTTGGGCTATAAAGGAACTACAGCAGGGTCACATGACTTCACGTCACCACCGCTAAGCTAAAGGCGGCTAATGTTGGGCTATAAAGGAACTACAGCACGGTCACATGACTTCACGTCACCACCGCTAAGCTAAAGGCGGCTAATGTTGGGCTATAAAGGAACTACAGCACGGTCACATGACATCACATCACCACCGCTAAGCTAAAGGCGGCTAATGTTGGGCTATAAAGGAACTACAGCACGGTCACATGACTTCACGTCACCACCGCTAAGCTAAGGAGGCTAATGTTGGGCTATAAAGGAACTACAGCACGGTCACATGACTTCACGTCACCACCGCTAAGCTAAGGAGGCTAATGTTGGGCTATAAAGGAACTACAGCACGGTCACATGACATCACATCACCACCGCTAAGCTAAAGGCGGCTAATGTTGGGCTATAAAGGAACTACAGCACGGTCACATGACTTCACGTCACCACCGCTAAGCTAAAGGTGGCTAATGTTGGGCTATAAAGGAACTACAGCACGGTCACATGACTTCACGTCACCACCGCTAAGCTAAAGGTGGCTAATGTTGGGCGTGATGGTGTTTAGTCGTCTCATTTAGACACTTGTTAGCAACCTCCCTTTTTAAATTCACCAGTGGGGTATTTACTGACATATTTTATCTCGTAGAACAAAACATGAACATTTCTTCAGGATAACAACTAAAAACACATTTAAAATAGTTTTAAACAAGGGAACCGGAAGCTTTAAATGCTGAGTGTTTTCCAAGTTTTAGGACTCATTACTGCACCACTCTAGGTTGAGAATAGTCTGTGAAAGATGGTGGAACAAGATGTTTTTAGTTCTTAGTTGTTGATTTACAGATTGCCTTCCACAACAGTGAAGTCCTCTTGGTTTGTGTTTGTGTGAAAATCGTCCGTAGAAACCACACCGAAGTTCTTTTTTGGTCGATGTTTACAACCCAAGGCAAGTCAAAATAATTGACCCGCAGTCTATATAATAACAACAACAATACACTTGCCAGATTCACCCTGAAGAGCATTTAATTGTCTGTATTGGGCTTCAGTGTGGTTCACCTGTGAATTATGTCATCCCCTTGACTTTTGACCTCTGGGATCAGGTAGTTAAAGAGGGAGGTTGCCTCTAGTGACTGATCCAAGGTCAGGTCTGATGAGATGCAGCAGGGATCTCAACTCTACTCAGAAACGGACATTTCCACTTGTACCGTCCTCTAACTCTTTGTATGTCTTTGTGTGTCAAGGGAGAGGATTCAAAACCGCCTTCAGAGATCGGTTCCTGTGCTCGAAGTATGGAGGATGTTAACGGCAGCAAGAAGGATTTATCAGCGTCTGCAGGTGAAATGACTCGATGCTAGAAAAGGAAATGCAAAGGACTGAACACAACATTCATATTATATACCATTTCACAAAAATACTGCTTGTATACAATTATTCATCCCGTGGTACCTCGAGTTCCTGAAGAAGACTTTGAGTTTCTTGCAAGGTATAACCAAAAACATTGAGTTCTTGAAGGATTAAAGTACGTAATAAGAAACTCTATCACCAGTTTACGAACTCTCACGACCCCTGCAGTGTAATCCAAGTCTCATGTATCCTGTTGCTTGTAATTAAATCCCAAATATGTGATTTTCAATAACATCTTAATCTTGCAAAAAAACTCCTCCGAAGTCCAACGTGATTTAAATGTCAATGTTTGAGGTCAAATGCAAAGTTAAGTGGACTTGGATTATTCTGAACGAGCCCTGTGAGAGTTTGTAAATTGGTTTTCTGATATAATTTTGCTGTGTCCCCAATTAACTTCCATTTATCAAGACATGTCAGTGTCTCTATCAACACAGGGGTGATTGACAGATACACTGCTTTCTCGTTCCCTAATACTGTGTTTTTCTTACATAATGGATGTTTAAAGGTGGGGTAGGTAAGTTTGAGAAACCGGCTCGAGATACACTTGTTGTTATATTCCATGGAATGCTCTTAACATCCCGATAGCAATGAATATCTGAAGTGCTTTGAAGCCGTGGCGCTGTAAAAAGCACGACCAATCATCTGAGCCGGCTAAAGTAACTGGATGGCCTACCTGCCTGTCAGCCTTCCATCTGGGCACAAACTTACCTCGTGCCCTCATTGGTCATGATCGCGTTCGTGTGTGTTGGAGGAGGAGCTCTGTGAGGAAGTGGCAGATTTGTTCCGGCTGTGTATTTTCTAATTCTAGCCACTCGAGCTGGTTCCTCCTAAATGACCTACCCCAACTTTAAGTTAGTGACAGAGTTTCTGAACTGATACTCTGATATAGTTTCGCTGTTCTCCCCAATTAACTTCCATTTATCAAAAAACAACATTTCCCTCAACAATGCATGATAACGCAGGGGTGATTGATAGAGACAATATTGCTCATTTAGGGGCTGAAATATTCCTAATTTCTAGCATTTTCCCTCCTAATCTCCTAAAGTTGGTTCCATGGGGGTGATTGATAGATACACAAATGCTCACTTTGGGTGTAAACCTCTGTCATTTCCCCTCCTAATGTTTGTCCGATGCCTGTAGATCACCCGGTTCTCCTTACATAATGAATGTTAACGTTTGTGATACAGCAAAGTCAACCCCGAGCAAACACAGTACAGCAGCCCCATCTATAATTCCTCACACGCCAGTTCCCATACCCTCTGCCATTTCATGTGTTTGTGTTGCTGCCAAACACAATATCCTCTCCCACGCATCCCATAAGATGAATGCCCTGCTGAAATATTCATGTTGTTCAATAACAGAAAGAGGCATCCATTTTTAAGTATGCTTCTTCTTTTCTGAGGGCGAAGCTCTATGGCACTCCTTCCTCCTTCCTCTTTGTATTCATGTTAGCACTTTCATTCACTTCTACACAGCTTTACTATCGACTTGTTTCTGATCTGGCCCTTCTTAACGTCATCTTGAATGCATCATGTGTCTCCTCTACCTTCACATTAAGCCCTCATCCTCTTTACTGAACTCAACACTCATATTATATATATATAACAATGGTAATCGTTTGACAGCCCTAATATATATATATACCATTTCACAAAAATACTGATCATCAATTATTCATCCCGTGGTACCTCGAGTTCCTGAAGATAACGTTGAGCTTGCTTGCATGCCTCCAAGGTGTATCCAAAAACATAGAAAGATCTTGAAGGATTAAAGTAAATATGGACGTAATAAGAAACTCTACTATCAGTTTACGAACTCTCACAACTCCTGCAGTTCAATCCAAGTCTCATTTATCCTTTTTGCATTTAATTAACACTCTTTCCATCTTCTGTTTACCACTAACTCTTTATCCGTCTCTCCTCTCCGGTTAGTGCCTGTAAATAGTCCTCTATCTTAATATTTAGCCCTGGTCTTCTTTAACGCTCATTCCTGTTGCTGTTAGCGAGTAAATCTGACTTTTTCTTCCTGTTTTTCTTCATGTTAGCACTTTCATACGGCTTTTTACCTACTTTTTTCTGACCCTTCTATAAGTAATCTTTAATGCATTATTTGTCTCCTTTACCTTCACATTACGCCCTGGTTCTGTTTAACGCTCTTCCCTTCTTCTGTTTTCCACTAATTCTGACCCTCTGTCTCCGTCTCTCCTTCACTAGTAGTGCCTGTAAATGGTCACGTGGACCTGAAGACGAGCCTCACTCCGCCTGTTATCACCCACACGGCTGCCACCCCCATGGCGGTGCTGAAGTTACCCGTCGGAGGAGACCCCATCCTGGGCTTCGAGTCCCGAAGAGGCAGCAACGTCTCCATGGAGCCGGCCTGCTACGACAAATCACCGGTTTGTAGATTCAGTAATATTCTCGTCAACACGATAAAACAAAACTATGAACGTGGGGAAATTAACTTTCAACGAGACTATTTTTTAATTTTTTTTATTTGTTAATTTATTGAACATGTTAGTGCGCTGAACTTTGAATCAGGGGATAGCAAGGTCAAACCCCACTGCAGTCAGCATGTGTCCCTGGGACACTTCACCCCAAAGTGCTCCTGTGGGGATTGCCCACAGTATTGAGTATGTGAGTCACTTTGGATAAAAGCGTCTAACATGTGACGTGTAACGTATTGTAATGCTGAAAACTAAGATTTAAAACAAACATTGTAAAATGAACACTAGTCCAAAAGCTTTTGCAGTTTATAAATGTAATAACTGTGCTCAAGGATGTCACAAAGCGAACATAAGTACACATGTACAAGAGTAAAGAATAACAACTTTATCAAACTTGCATTTCATTGAAGACTATGGGTGTTTCTCAATGTCGAGTAAGGATGCTCCAGAGCCACTATTTCAAGGATACTACGTCATCGAGTCCCGCCAAAGGACTGTTCCAATGTCCAGGATACTTGCAATTCTACCGAGTCCGGCGTACTTCGTTGCGGGAAATTCCGAGGCTGCACATGTGTAGACTCCGCGCTCTTAAAATCCCCACAATGCTTTGCGCACGGACCAATTCCCCCCAAATCTGTGGCGCCATTTAAGGCGGGGCCTCGCATATAACCCTGTTAGCCTGTTCCACCATTCTTCCTTGTCCGAGGCTAGGGAGGATTCTTGCCTCGCTTCTGAAGCAACTGACTCGGAGGTACATGTGCTACCTAGCAAGCCTCCTCGACATTGAGAAACACCCTATGACTGTGTCAAATAGACAAATGAACACTAAGAAAAAAGCATTTCAGAGTTTTGCAAATGCAATAATCCGGGGCTGGGATGTCACAAAACAAACAACATAGTACACATGGACTGGGACAAAGAATACAAATGGACCAAAATAAAATGTTATTGGAGATGAAGACTAAATAAAATCAGTTAAATAAACTCTACAACAACAGCATGTTGCAGTTCATAAGGGTAATAACTGCAGCAGGATGTCACAAAGCCAACATAAGTACATTTATACGGAGACAAGTGTCAGGATTTACTCCCAGCGTTTCCCCGTAGTGTCTCTCAGAGTGAATTCACGGTAAGTGTCCCGCTGATGGAGGTCGTAATGATTGATGAAGATTAATGTGGCTCCAACACTTTACTCTCCGCTGCCACTCCTCCTCTGACAGACTGATGATGGGATAAAGAGCTGGAACATAAGCCCAGATCTCCACATCTGCTCCTGTCCGCCTGTCAGCACACATCTTTATTCAATTCAGATCACGTCGGAACGACTCGGCTCGCTTTATCTGCATGAAGGAAGGACATTGCTAGGGTTTGTAGAAACAAGATCAACATGTTTACATGCTGTCCCTCGTGTTAGACCTTTATCCTGACCTGCTTTCACAATACAATCACAAGTACAATCATTAGGCTAAATTAAAGTTTTACAAAGAAGCTAACATTGGAAAGACTCCATAATGTACAAAACACTTGACACTTACCAAATACCCTAAAACGAGTCTCCCCTAATTACTAAATGGTCCCAGAACATAGGTTGGATATAATAAACACAGACACAGGGGCGGACTGGCCATCGAGACGTTCGGGACGAATGCCGATGGGCCGGTACTGAAGTGGGCCGGTCGGAGAAGTCACTAGCACCCCCTTACTTGTGGTACCGAGGTGGGCCGGCGGTACCGAAGTGGGCCGGTCGAGAGTGCCGGGCTGATTTGTAGTCCCAGTCCGCCCCTGCACAGACATACGACAAAGGGAAATGAATGGCACATATTGGATGTATTTCAGAGTAGCTAGCGAACAAAATCTATTTACTACACAAGCTAGCTCTTGTTAGCTATCTTTCTAACTAGTTCAAATGTTAAATATCAAGCTAATAAGCTAAGCAAGCAAATTAAACCTGTCTCACTAGCTATCAAGGACACATAAGCTATCTGACTACTACTACTACTGTATCCGACTAGCTATTGCCAAATGTGGTTGCTCTCATAATTTGTATTCTAGTTATTATGTATTTCCCCATGGTCAAACTTACAGTGCGGAAGTGTGTTTACCCTTTTGGCAATGAGAGTATTTATTAAATATATTGTCCACTTTTGCTTTTTTGTAACCCAACCGAAAAACAGGCAACTGTATAGCTATTGTTAGAAATTCAAATCAATGTGTTGATGGCATAATGTAGCTTAAACATACCGTCAGTTTAAATGCTGTTTTATAAACCAGAAGTTCTCGTGCACAACCAGTTGTTAAGCTTTTATTCTGAAAATCCTTCATCTCCGGTTAGCATTTAGCATGTGGCTAATATACCATTTCCTATAGAGGTGAATTTAGTAGCGATATGACACGGAGTGTTGCACACCGAAACCTCCTGATTTCAACACTACAACTATCGACGTGGAGATATTATTATTGCTGAATATTAAATGAAGGTACGGTTTATTCGAATACGTTTTTGATAGTTAACACTATCAATCTAGCACAACTTATACAAGTATAACATCTCAAATTCAACAGTCTTCGACAAGTAAAGGTCGATAAAGCTGGTGATGCTAAGCAAAGTAATAATAATAGATTACATGTATTATAGCACCTTTCAAGGGACCCAAGGCCACTTTGCATGTTGTGAAGAAACTGTCACGATCTGTCTGTGTTGTTGTTTTGTCTTGTCTTTTTCTATCTTTGGGTTTCCTGTTTTATTTTGTAAATTGTTCACCCCCGTTTCCTGCCTGTTGCTTTCTGTCTGTTTTCCCTCCCTGATTACCCGATTGTGTTCACCTGGTGCCTCTGTGTTTTCTCCTCCCTCCTCACCTGTCTCGTGTTTGTTTGATTAGTCCTTGATGTATTTAAGTTCTGGTTTTCCGTCTGTCTTTGTCGGTTCGTCTTGTGTTTTGAGTAATTCTGCGGTGAGTGTTCTGTTCTGTGTCTAGATACTGTAGCCTTGAAATAAAGGAATTCTTTTTGTCACTTAAGTCTGCATTTGGGTCCTGTTTCCCACACAAACCGTGACAGAAACAAACAAACAAACGTTAGTTGCAAGAACTAGCATTTCTGCCCTAAAACGGTAGTTAAAACATAAGTAAGGCGACATAGAGGTGCCACAGAAGGTTGATAACTTGTTTGATTAAATGCAATTCAGAGTAGAACAACTTGTTTAACTTGTTCATCATTCTCTCCCTCTCCTGGTCCTCTTCCTGCTGCAGACCAGCAACTCAGAGTGCAATAGGGATGCATACCGGTATCCGGTATTACCGAAATACCGGTTACTGGTGGCTACGGTATACCGTACCGAAATCAGATCCGGTTTCGATACTTTAAAAAAAAAAAAAAAAAATCATTTTAAAGTGAGTCCGTGGCCCGTGATGGCGGGAGTTATAAATTAGATTGCATAATCGTTTTTCTTCATATTTTATGTATTTCATTGTGTGTTCAATACTAGAAAGGTAAAAGTCCCACAAATGAACTGTGATTTGTTTTCTCTCACCAGTGAAGGCAAATGTTGATTTTAAAGATGAGATTTGTTTGTTTGTGCAATGCCGAGATCTCATGACCTTTATTCTATTATGTATTTGTTCTCTAGTGGAATCTCAGGTTTAACATTAATTGTAACGGTGCTATAACGGTCTGTTTGCATTGACAAGATGTGCTATTCACGCGGCACACCTGATGTTATAAAAGATATTCCATAATCGGTTTTCTTCATATTTTTAATGTATCTTTCATTGTTTGTTCAGAACTAAAAGGTCCAAGAAGTCCCACAATTGAATTTAATATTCATTTGACATGTTAACTATATCGTAAAGTGCTTCATGGGAGTAATTGTGGGATGATACATTTTCAAAGTATCACGATATGTATCGGTTGAGTATCGGTATCGTTCAGTGGTATCGGTATCGTAAAAAAGTCAACGATATGCATCCCTAGAGTGCAATAACTAGCTTTGTGATCACTGTCCCTGCTCTGAAGTGTCTTGATAACTTGTAAGCATCCATCTGACTCTCACCCTCTTCCTGCTGCAGACCAGCTCCTCCTCTCCGGCGCCCATTGGTTGGACGAGCCGTCGCTCCAGCTGGAACAGTTTGAGTCGAGCCCCGTCTCTCAAGAAGAAGCAGCAGCAGTCTGGAGAGCGACGGTCCCTCCTTTCTGGGGAGGGGGGGTCCAGCTCTGAGGAAGGAGAAGGTGGAGGAGGAGGACGTGGTTTGATGGAAGAAGACAACGCCTCTCTGGTCAGGACCGACTCCATGTCTCAGAAAGCGCCTCGACACCGGAGGATGGAGTCGTTGGAGACCAGGAGCTCCATGGAGTTGCCTCCTGATGTCCTGCTGCAGGTAGATTACTCTGGACATTACAGTTAAAACTCTGCTGATACCAACAAACTGTAACTGTTATTGCATGTCTTAAAGATTAGATATTGTCACTTTTTTGTCCCCAAAGTAAGGTGCAACCGGCAAAGGGGTTGTTTTTAGTCCCTTCATATATCAAAGGTGTGTTATGGACTAATCAGTTTCAACTCCTATACCTGTACAAATCATCTGCACCTGCTATTTAAATGATGGATTTGGCCAAATTAAGAAGTGTCTTGTCTTTTCTTGCACATTTGATTTTGAGCTCATCCAAAAGTAACAGAGTAATCATGGTTTGTTTTGTCTAGGTGCCGAATCTGCACCGCTCAGCCAGCATGCTCAGCTCCAGACCCCCCTCTCTGGGTCACCTCCGGAACCCAGAACACAGCGACTGCAACGGGAAGGGCTCTCCTGCATCATTGGGTCCCACACATGTCTCTCTGGAGGACAACACTGAGGACGAGAACGCAGAGGAAGAAGCTAACCTGGTCAGTGTGTGAGCCTGAGTGCACGCTAGCATATTTTTAGTCATGTGACCGTGCTGTAGTTCCTTTATAGCCCAACATTAGCCGCCTTTAGTTTAGCGGTGGTGACGTGAAGTCATGTGACCGTGCTGTAGTTCCTTTATAGCCCAACATTAGCCGCCTTTAGCTTAGCGGTGGTGACGTGAAGTCATGTGACCGTGCTGTAGTTCCCTTATAGCCCAACATTAGCCGCCTTTAGCTTAGCGGTGGTGACGTGAAGTCATGTGACCGTGCTGTAGTTCCCTTATAGCCCAACATTAGCCGCCTTTAGCTTAGCGGTGGTGACGTGAAGTCATGTGACCGTGCTATAGTTCCCTTATAGCCCAACATTAGCCGCCTTTAGCTTAGCGGTGGTGACGTGAAGTCATGTGACCGTGCTATAGTTCCCTTATAGCCCAACATTAGCCGCCTTTAGCTTAGCGGTGGTGACGTGAAGTCATGTGACCGTGCTATAGTTCCTTTATAGCCCAACATTAGCCGCCTTTAGCTTAGCGGTGGTGACGTGAAGTCATGTGACCGTGCTATAGTTCCCTTATAGCCCAACATTAGCCGCCTTTAGCTTAGCGGTGGTGACGTGAAGTCATGTGACCGTGCTATAGTTCCTTTATAGCCCAACATTAGCCGCCTTTAGCTTAGCGGTGGTGACGTGAAGTCATGTGACCGTGCTGTAGTTCCTTTATAGTCCAACATTAGCCACCTTTAGCTTAGCGGTGGTGACGTGAAGTCATGTGACCGTGCTATAGTTCCTTTATAGCCCAACATTAGCCGCCTTTAGCTTAGCGGTGGTGACGTGAAGTCATGTGACCGTGCTATAGTTCCCTTATAGCCCAACATTAGCCGCCTTTAGCTTAGCGGTGGTGACGTGAAGTCATGTGACCGTGCTATAGTTCCCTTATAGCCCAACATTAGCCTCCTTTAGCTTAGCGGTGGAGACGTGAAGTCATGTGACCGTGCTATAGTTCCCTTATAGCCCAACATTAGCCTCCTTTAGCTTAGCAGTGGTGACGTGAAGTCATGTGACCGTGCTGTAGTTCCTTTATAGCCCAACATTAGCCTCCTTTAGCTTAGCGGTGGTGATGTGAAGTCATGTGACCGTGCTGTAGTTCCTTTATAGCCCAACAGTAGCCTCCTTTAGCTTAGCGGTGGTGACGTGAAGTCATGTGACCGTGCTGTAGTTCCTTTATAGCCCAACATTAGCCGCCTTTAGCTTAGCGGTGGTGACGTGAAGTCATGTGACCGTGCTATAGTTCCTTTATAGCCCAACATTAGCCGCCTTTAGCTTAGCGGTGGTGACGTGAAGTCATGTGACCGTGCTATAGTTCCCTTATAGCCCAACATTAGCCGCCTTTAGCTTAGCGGTGGTGACGTGAAGTCATGTGACCGTGCTATAGTTCCCTTATAGCCCAACATTAGCCTCCTTTAGCTTAGCGGTGGAGACGTGAAGTCATGTGACCGTGCTATAGTTCCCTTATAGCCCAACATTAGCCTCCTTTAGCTTAGCAGTGGTGACGTGAAGTCATGTGACCGTGCTGTAGTTCCTTTATAGCCCAACATTAGCCTCCTTTAGCTTAGCGGTGGTGATGTGAAGTCATGTGACCGTGCTGTAGTTCCTTTATAGCCCAACAGTAGCCTCCTTTAGCTTAGCGGTGGTGACGTGAAGTCATGTGACCGTGCTGTAGTTCCTTTATAGCCCAACATTAGCCGCCTTTAGCTTAGCGGTGGTGACGTGAAGTCATGTGACCGTGCTGTAGTGCCTTTATAGCCTAGCATTAGCCTCCTTTAGCTTAGCGGTGACCGTGCTAATATCAAGATGACTGCATATTGACCATGTTTCTGTTGGCCCTTTAGGACAAACCTTGTTGAATACATACATACTCAACAGTTTTATTAGAACGTTCACATGAGAAGCCTCTAACTCTGGAGAGTACTTGCAGCTCACAAGATAAAACGGTAAAAATATGAATAATGAATGTGTTCTCTATTTCCTGCAGAGTCTTGTTTCCAGACTGTTCCTCTGGCTGGAGAAGAAGCAGCCTGATTGGTGCAGACAGAGAGACACCTGGTCAATGTACCTGTTCCCTCCAGAGTCCAGGTAACACCTGTATACAGTCTATACAGTCTATGGGTAACACTTACACTAAAACAGTGGGGAAAGTACATTTACTCAAGTATACTTGTACTTTACTTGAGCATTTATACCACATTATACATCATCTCCTATACCATTCAAATATCTCTTACAATTTACTACATTTATTTTACAGCTTTAGTTACTTAACAAACTATACAGATGTTTACAAAACACATATATTATCTTGTTATGAATTAAATCAGCCGACAATTTGTACAAAAACACCCCATTACTCAGTATTTAGCAAGTAAGCGATTTACTTATTAAAGTATTTTTAAATGTATTTTAAATTGTTTTCCATTGGGTACTTTTCAGTTGGCATCTATAAACATTTATTTTAAAAATATTTTAGATATTTCTGCAAAATGTTATACTTTTAGTACATTTTTCAGATTTTTCTTGAACATTAAAGTTTTTTTTACATTTATTTAGAACATTTTAGATTTTTGGGGTGTTTTTTTAAAATGTTCCCTTGACTTACGTTCTATTTTTCAGCATCTACACATTTATTTACCTCCATACCATATAACCTCTTTACCCTGTTCTCTTTTTACTCTGCATTTCAACATATTTTTTTACATAAAAACATGGGGTTAGGGTTGTTCTTTGGTGTTTAATCTGCATGTTGCGGTACTTTGGGAGCAGTGTGTTGCCTTCACAGTCACACCCTCTCAACAGACGTGGATCAAAGCCTCATAGGAGGAGGAGGAGGAGGAGGAGGAGGAGTGAGGAAGAGGGAAGGATTGAGATAAAACGCCGGAGAAACTCCCTCACTCCCCCCTGACATGGCAGAAAAGTGCAGATAAAACAGACTTCAGAAGTGAGATTGTGGGAGGGAATCGAAGCCGATAAAAGACAGAAAATGCTGCGCTCACAATGCGGCAAATAAAATAAAAACCCTCTGCGATCACAGTCAGCATTATGGGATATCAAATGCAACGTGAAAAAACCTCGTCTTGCCAAGAAGATAGCTCTATCGTTTTCCTGTACGCTGATAACAAAAAGCTATCACTGTAAAAGTGCTGAGGATTCATTTTCAGTATTTCATTTAACTTGAAACCGCCAACAACCTCTGAATTGTAGTGGAGTAGAAGTACTAAGAAGCAATACATGAAAATACTCAGTACCACTAAATTGTACTTTTTTCATCAGCAGGAGAGGACTCTTTAAAGTCGAGACACTACATACTGATATACACCTGAACATCAGCAGGAGAGGACTCTTTAAAGTCGAGACACTACATACTGATATACACCTGAACATCAGCAGGAGAGGACTCTTTAAAGTAGAGACACTACATACTGATATACACCTGAACATCAGCAGGAGAGGACTCTTTAAAGTAGAGACACTACATACTGATATACACCTGAACATCAGCAGGAGAGGACTCTTAAAGTAGAGACACTACATACTGATATACACCTGAACATCAGCAGGAGAGGACTCTTTAAAGTAGCGACACTACATACTGCATATACACCTGAACATCAGCAGAGAGGACTCTTTAAAGTAGAGACACTACATACTGATATACACCTGAACATCAGCAGGAGAGGACTCTTTAAAGTAGAGACACTCATACTGATATACACCTGAACATCAGCAAGGGATCTTTAAAGTAGAGACACTACATACTGATATACACCTGAACATCAGCAGGAGAGGACTCTTTAAAGTAGAGACACTACATACTGATATACACCTGAACATCAGCAGGAGAGGACTCTTTAAAGTAGAGACACTACATACTGATATACACCTGAACACCAGCAGGAGAGGACTCTTTAAAGTAGAGAAACTACATACTGATATACACCTGAACATCAGCAGGAGAGGACTCTTTAAAGTAGAGACACTACATACTGATATACACCTGAACATCAGCAGGAGAGGACTCTTTAAAGTAGAGTCCTCTCCATACTGATATACACCTGAACATCAGCAGGAGAGGACTCTTTAAAGTAGAGACACTACATACTGATATACACCTGAACATCAGCAGGAGAGGACTCTTTAAAGTAGAGACGCTACATACTGATATACACCTGAACATCAGCAGGAGAGGACTCTTTAAAATACAGACACTACATACTGATATACACCTGAACATCAGCAGGAGAGGACTCTTTAAAGTAGAGAGACTACATACTTAGTTCCTTCCCACCCCTGTCCAAGATCCGTCGTTTTTGAAACTGCAGAACTTTTCTCTTTCTTATTTTGGGCGTGTTCGCACCACCGTAAAAACGTTTCAAGTCATTTATTTTCTCTCAAGTCGCAGGTCATGAAAACAGTGACTCGAGTCGATTAAAGTCCACGTCACGATACCTGGAGAACTACAGATTAATATTTTTTTGTTTCATCATCTCTGTTGGCCATTGAAAAGGTTAATTGGAAAAGCTCCATGCGTTCTGTTGTTGCCGGAGTCTGAGGAGAAGTAAAGGCTTTTGGGTTTCATCGCAGCGGGTCTCCAGGTTCTGTTCGTCTCTGAGACTGACAGCGAGGACACGGACTCTGCATGGAGTCTTTTTTCCGACCTCGAAACCAACGAGGACCCCCCGCTGTACTCAAAATCACATCAAGAGACAGCAGTGGGGGGGGGAGTCCAGCTGTTTTCACATGGACCAGATTCACCTCAACCTGCCTTTCAGATCTGTGTGTCGGTGCTCAAGACTACAGATTACTGCAGCGTTTAGAAAGAGCGGAAACTATAATAGTAATATTAATAAATATATTAATGATTATTAAAAAAAGTTGAACACAAAATATAATAACAATAATAATAATTAAAGGAAAACAATTATATTATATGATAAAGATAATAATTAAAGGATAACAAATATATAATTAAGATACAAATTGAAATAGGATACAAATAATAATTAAATTCAAAATATTATAATAATAATAACATGTAAAAAATCTAATATAAAAACTATTGACATTTTTTTAAAAATTAATAATAATAATAATAGACATTTAATGCAAGTCAGATGTGAAAATGTATATATTTGATTATATTATAGAAAGTATACTTGATAAATGTGAATCCAAAAAAGTCAAATAAAGATAACATTAAATAACATTTTCCAAAGTTAGCGAAAGATATAGCATCCAGTACGACAGAAATACAATAAAATAATATGATGAATAAACAATTAACGTAAAAAACATCAGTACTAGTAAACTTGGGATATTGCAAATAAATGCTAAAATTAAAATACAGCTTCCCATTCTTGTATTTCTTGTTAGTGTGTTTCGGGAGGTTTGGGACTTTAGTGTATAAAACCTACCTCACTAACGGCGCATTTCCACTACAGCGCGGTTTAAGCGTGCCGTGCCCGGCCCGTTTTTGGTTGCGTTTCCACTTGGCGTAGTTCCGGCTAGCGGGTACTTTTTCACAGTTTTCTGGCTCTCCAAAATCGAGGTTCTTTCCGGGCCAATAACCGGGCTGAGAATGCTAAACTAGTGACGTGAGTGGCTACATCTACAACGAAATGAACATATTTGACCGTGATTTAATTGTAAAACACGTTTCAAAATGATGCCGAAGTAACAACATACTGATACTGGTTAGTAAAAACCTTGAATTAATGCTTTGACAAGTCTGCAGACAAACGGCAGGCGAAACACCTTTTTAAAATGCGTGTTTTCTGAATGGAGATCGGCTAAGCTAACGTTATATATGCTCCGACCGTCCACACTCACAACAACGGCCTATACAGAGATAAATAAAGCAGCGACTGTATTCGCCATGACACAGACAGTCTGCGGTTTGTACTTGTTTAACTTCTGTCTAGTTTCTGAACAGATATGAAGAGCTGTGAGCTCTGAGTGCTAAGAGCTAACGGCTGATGTTGGTTTTGTGGTTCGCATTGAAGATGACATCACGGCTCCGCCTACACTGCGTTACTATAAGGCACTTTCACACCGCAGTACTTTTCCCACAAAGGTTCATGAGAACTTAGTTCATGAGAACTCTTTAGTTCTCATGAACTAAGTACAGATCGCGTTCACACCGGAATAAGTCCCTGGGGGAGGATTAGGCAAATGAAGCCGCTGACGTCACTTCTTCTTCTTCTGCTTTGGGTTTACTGGCAGGCCGCAAACCACTTCACGGTGTATACTGCCACCCGGAGTCCCAGGCCGGAAGACCCCGGAGTTGGGGACTGGCTTCAGTAGAAGCTGCTGGGACTCCCAGCAGCTTCTACTGAAGCCTTCCGAGTAAATCGCCAGAACGCCGACACCTCCTCATCTCCACCACTCCCATGTCTTCTTTTGTGTTGCCATAAGTTAGTCTCTCTGCGTTTCTGCGCTGGGCTAATGCTAATGCTAATAATGCTAATGCGAGGATAATAAAATGGCGGCATCACAAAACCTTTTGGGAGTTTTACGGGGCGTGGTTTGCAATCCTTCCAGCCAATCAGACACAGGAACCTTTGTCTCCCACGAAAGTCCCTGCTCTCTAGCAGGGACGGAAAAGGGGGTGAAAAGGTTCTCATGAACTAATTTAGTTCCGGCTCTTTTTGGTATGAACGAACATTTCAGAACTAAAGTGGGAAAAGTACTGCGGTGTGAACGCGCCTATAGATACTACCCCAGCTACTAAACTGTAATGGAAACGCAGCTTAAAGTGAGCCAGGCCTAACGAGGCCTAGCGATACCGTTCTAAGCCGAGCGAGGCCCTGCAGTGGAAAAGCGCCATAATTGTATTTCTTGGGACTTTTGAAGTATATACAAAGCCTGCTGTTGAGGGACATGAGACTGAATGCGGATACGATGCAGATAAGGAATAGAACAAATAGACAGCAGGGGTTTTACTGTTACAGTAAACAGTGATCCCTGTTGTTGTTTTTATGGAGAAACTTTCTTTGTTGCTGCTTTTCAACGCCATACCACCGCCTATAGATGCAGGGAACATGAAATGCCATCTGTCAGCTCTCCCCTGGAAAGCAATCATC